CTCCACGTAGTCCTTGGTAGCCATTGCCACGATGTTGTCAGCGGTTTCCTCAGAGCGAACATGGGGGAAATTCAACGGGGAACCCCGCGAGCAAAACGAAAAACGAGGTAACAGTTCCGCTCAGGGCACCTGACGAGGCAAACATGGACTACCGCAAATCTGGTTCATAGAACTCCTCACAAGTTTCTTATCTGCCAAGGCCGATCAATTGCCACGCTCTCGTGTTTCCTTTTTTTGCGACACGTTGCACGACTTGAAACCTTCTGCTTGAAGATGGGCTGCGGAAATTTAGACGTAAGCAACCTTTCAGCAGAGTTTTTTCCATCGCCCCTTTCAACATCACCCCACAGTCCAATAACTCATGCTTTGGATGGCTTTCTGGGTAAACATAGATGCCCTTGAACCCACGCTCAATCCTTCATGACCTCTGAGCTCCCTTAGAGATGGTATGCTTGCGTCGGCGCTGCTCGGAGGGGATCAAACCGATCAGATTTGGAGGATTCCGGGCTTCGGGAGTCCATGCGCCTGTTGCTGGTATTCAAACCACCGACATCATGTCGGGTTGGTTTTTAGGGTACCTCTTTCGGGGTCGGTTTAAAGGCAAACCATAGGCAAGCCGCCCATTTTAGTGACACACACACACAGACAAAAAACAAATAAACAAATGTGTACGTGCTTCCCAAGCGGAAGGCTTTCTGAAACATCAAATTGCGTCCAGCTTCCCGTGATTTGAACTGGCTTCATGGGCAAAAGGATCCCCGGCCAAAGGGGGTGCCAGTCTTGGGAAAGCTCGTGACTTGGGCCATGCGGATCCCGGAATAAAATTTGCAGAACCATGGTCAAGAGTCCAGACGCCATGCCTACAGAATTTGCCAAAGGTTGTTCCTTTTACAACACTAACTTGGTGCAGAAAACAAGCACACATATACACACACCGATTGTTGTTTGCAACCTTCCATTCCAAATTAGCTCGGATCTTGCAACTTGCAAGCAAGAGGCGTGCGGGCGGCCCTTGCTGTGTTCAGAGCCCATCCTGCACATCGCTTTTAATCTCCCATTCAACGAAGGTCTCAGTGTGAAAATGGTGTGATTGAAGAAACCTCCTCTGATTTTCATCCTGTGGATTTGAGAACCACACAAGCAAAGAAGCCTACGAGTTCCCGCGTGAGAGAGACGACACACGAGAAGCCAAACAAAATGAAAGTCCCAGGCTACACGCAACGAAGCAAATCGCAGGCATTCAACCAAACATGCAGCATATCCTGCTTTGCCAGGTTTCAGCAAGCTTGTGAACTTTTGTCCGACAGGGTTCTCAGGATTCGGGCTGGCGCCAATCTATATATTGCATTGCCTTGCTGCAATGATCTGAAGCTAACCCATGCAGTGGGTGGTCATAAGATAAATAATGCACAGCAAATGATTCAGAACTCTTCTGAGGGGACAGCACCCTTAGCCAAGTCACCCGATGCACCATTCGTGTGCCAGCCGTTTTTGCCTCTTCTATAAAGGTAAGGATTCCCCATGCACGAAGAACAGTATCACCAATAATCCCTTCTTCCGATTTGGTAACGGAACCCTCCAGCCAACCCCAAACATTGCCAAATGCTAAAACCAAAACTAAACTCTCTGGAAACCAGATGAACTCAGCCAAATATGCTTATTAGGGGCCGCCATAGCAATGATCAATTGGGCTGCCTTGTGTGAGCGGTTTTAATGGTTGGGGTCTCCATTAGGTTCCCTTCACAAGGTCGTTTTCTCAAACCAAAGGGTTGCCCTGCGCGAGCGGTTTTTATTTTCAGGCCTTGTTGATCAAAAACAAGGGCGCCTTCTCTTTAACAGTTCTTGCTCGAAGTTGCATTCTGAACGCGTGCTTTACAAATCAAAGGATCCCTCTTTCCAATTTGAACCCAATACTCAACAACACAGCCTGAAAACACATTGCCAAACACCAGGGACCTTAGCATGACGGGGGGGGAGGACGGTATATTATTGCAAAATGTACCAAGGGTTGGTATGCTGGCATTACCCCGCGTAGGGTACATTCTATGAGGTGTGTAGGGTCACACGGTGTTTTCAGTGGCTTGAATATTGGCCACTCTCAAACTCCACAGAATTCCTGGGCACTGGCGATCACGCTGAGTCCGTGCTATGGATCATTGGGGCGTGTCACTTGGAGAAGTTCACCTTGACATCCAAAAAATATCGGGAGACGTCCATTGGAGGACTCAACGGCCAAGGCGTCAGCCCGGCCTCTTCGCAAGATGCCAAAGGCACGTAGACAACTTTGGGAGCAAGAAGGCTGCGGGAAGCAGAGCTTGGGCAATGCCCAACTTGGCGGCACCACAGGTACCTTGCATAGAAGCGTCCGAGTGCCAAATGGAAACGTGCTGGAATCAGCAACGTGCTGCTTCTGCCTACTTGCTCACCAAATTGGCATAGGGAATCTGAATATTGGCGCTCTTGGTGGTTACGTTGACAAATCCCCCCATGTCCTGCCACAACAATGGTGGATCAAGAAATTGCAGCTGGCTTCATAGTGTGTTCCGCAAACCAAAGCATTATATGCATGAATATACATATATATATATAAAATATTGTCAGTTGCCTGCGCAGTTCCCGAAAAGGCTAACGTGGGCATGTCGTCGTCTGCTGGTCGATCCTCTTCAGGGTGGTACCTCGTGGGTTTAGGAAAATCAACAAACACGTCCATTCTGCGCGCGCCCTCTATGGGAAACGAACTGTTCATACAATGTGTTTGTTGTCCCAAAGTTCTCGCTTTGGATCGTTTGATTTTGATTGGGAGGTCCCATGCATCAGTCTCCTGGATGTGTGCGTGTGCGTCTGTGTGTGTGTGTGAGCCATATTGGTGCCATCGGATGGCTCCTTGCCCCAATCATATCCAATCATGATCTTAGCAGGATCCCAAGTGCGCTGGCCGAAGAGAGGAGCTGACATGAAAGCGTTGCTCCTTTTTTGCAAGATGTAGAATAACTTGCCAGCATGAATCGGAACCCTTGATTCTTGAGGTTGCTTTTTCTTGGGTTGTTAAACATTCCCAACGGATCATAACAAGCACCAGCTCAATCCCATCCCTTTGACTCTCAGTCGCCTGAGGCTACCTGGGACACAAACAAAACGTTTTCTTGGGTAGTGGGAACACGTTATATATATATATGTATACATATATATATATATATATGCGGGTGTCCAAAAAAGTCAAGGTTCAAGATCCAACCAAACAGTAGCCGAAAGATCACAGCTTTGTTCTACTCGGAACTCTGGGGATCCCAACGCCCACCTGTCCCGATCTGCACTGAACTTGGCAGTCCTGGCAACCGTCGCTTGAATTCGCGACCTACAAGTTCCCAAACACAACGCAGCTGATGCGGGGAACACACTAGAGACCCCACTCCGCATCACGGCGAGGAGGGGGACCAGCACAGCTGCTACATTGTGGCCAAGAGATGCGTTGACTCTTGCACGTCGGATGTATGTAGACACATGATCTATGTTTGTCCCATGTTAAAAGCGGTTTGACCCAACGCGGAACCCTGTTTGGAAACATGAAGCTGGCATACGGGGAACTCCCCAAAAATGTGTTGTGGAAAAGGCCAAGGAATGCTGAAATTCAGGGCTTCCCAAAAAGACTTTTGGGATAGAGAACCTAGAAAATATGTGATATGCAATTCAAAACAAGCCAGGAATAGCCCAAGGATAGAGGAACAAAGTTGGGCAAGTCTGAACCGGTCACGAGATGGAGACCTTGCTCTTGCTTGCATGAGGGTTTGTCACCTGCGGGCTGTAGGTGAGCCGCCGCAGAGATTGACGCTGCCTCCAAAACAAGACGTTAAGGGCACTGGCCTCATTATACTGCCACCCCCAAGTGGCAGGTTAAACACGACATTTCCAATTGTCGACTTTGACTTTGATAGCCCACAAGCAGTCAACATAATGACCCTAGCGGCAGGAGTTTTCAGATTGATGGTGTGAAACCAATGCAACAAGGCGGGTAAGCTCTGGCGCCAGAAAGCACCGCGCTGCAAAGTCGTCTGCGTTGGCTGGGCGCGAAGCAAGCTTGCACTGGCCTACTGGTTCCAATCCCATTCTCTTCAAGAGATTGAACTTTTACCATGTTTCCAACGGCCACTGATTGAATAGGACAAATGAAGTTGTTGTTTTGTTTGTTACGCTTGGTTTTGGACAGCTCAGCTTGCCGACGACTCAACTTCCACTAGTGAGGCGCATGATCCTGAGACTGAACAATCCTCCAGACATACAGTGTCTCACTTCCAGGTCGACATGGCCAACCTCAATTTCTGTCATTGGTGCTCATTAACTACCACCACTATCAATCATTCTAAACGGATTCCTACACTTTTGGGAGCACCCGCCGTAAGACCCAACATAGATTCAGAGACCTGTGCAAGAAACCCAGGGTTGCTGATTCGTCCTTCCAAAAAGTGCTCTCAATCGGCATTTGATCATCAGTATCATTGGGAAAATATTTGTCGTCGTAGTAATATCCGTGCTCGTGTTTTCGCTTGAACAGGGCCTCAAACTTACTCTGCTCGCACGAAACAAGCGTGCCCGAATTGCCGCCCACTTGCGGCTCTCCGATTTACCGCTCACGAGCAACTCCACTGATGTTGATGGCCATCAAGCATCTCAAACACCTCTCCCGGGCATTGGCCTCCTTGTCTGTGAGCCTGTGAACATCTTTCAGAACTATTTACAAATTCCCAGGAACTACAGTTTAGAAAACATCAAGGAACTACGTAAAATCTGGTTCAAAGGCATCCTAAAATCGCCCAAATTTCAGATGTCAGCGATCGCAACTTTTCCAGCTCCGCACCTCACAGCGAGCAGCTAGTGGCTAGTGGCCAAATCCAAGGACAAGCTGAGGTGTGACTTGTTTATGTCACCGTGTTCTTGAAGAGCACCCGGTCTAAACCTCAGAATGCTGCATCGAAGATCCGTGCAATGTCTTTCAACCCAATAACTGAAACTGTTTTGAGCGCCAGGTATTTTGCTCTGGTCAGCCCGAATGACACCAGGCCTTGTAGGAAGATGACCGCGACACTTTGTTTAGATCACGTTTCTTCTGAATTTTAATCACCGTCCAGAGTTTCAGCTGCCGCTTCCCGTTATTGCCACTTGGCCTCCATTTTTCTTTCTTCATTTAGGGACCCTCACACGTCTTGACCGTCGTGCGCTAGACATGAAGAACCAAGGATCAATGCATGAATGCCGCCCTTATTTGCTGTCAACAACAGTTCCGCTAACCAAGTTGGACACAAGTTGGGCACAGGCCCAACATGTTCGCCAATATTCCTGCGACATAAAACGGCATCACACATGAGCTGCGGTGAACGTTCCTTGTCCCCCCCCGCTGGGAAACATGTTTGCGTATATGGTTCTCGTTCCCATCGACTCTTGCCGCAGCTGCGCTTATTTCAAACATAACAATCCAAACACTCAGCCAGCACGGACAATCAACCACTGGTATCTTGTCAACACTCTGTGTGCGTGTAAAAATGAGTTCATGGTGTCTCGCTCATTATGCGCCGTCGTATGAGTCCAGAATTCACGTCGCAACTTGCTTGAAAGATGACACCTATAGATTTGTGTGGCAATTGTGTGTGTATGTGCACACAACAAAATTAGATGGGTAGATGGATGCATAGATAAACCGACAAACAAATTAGACAAGCTAGATAGATTAGATAGCTAGCTAGATAGATAGACTAGATAGCTAGCTAGATAGATACATAGATACATAGATACATAGATACATAGATACATAGATACATAGATACATAGATACCACTCCATTGAGCTGTCGCTCAGGTTCGACATCATGGCCTCGCCATCTTTCCTGCCCAAGAGCTGCTTCTGCATCTGCGTGCCTTCCACTATCTTCGACATCACGTCCGTGCGGTGGAGGCATGTTCGGATCCATGCTGGCCATATGTGGAGCCCCTCTTCTCAGTTCCGTCGGGCTCATAAGCGATGCCCTAGTTCAATCGGGCGTTCTTTTCCTTTTCTCGTGAAGAACGGCGGCAAGTACGGGAGAGGCTCTTCTCGCATCGTTGCATCCCAAAGAGACCTTCACGGTAGGGCCCGAACCTGTTGCACCCCCAAGCTCGCTACAACTAGCGAAGTTGTCATCTCCTCAAATAACAGGAAAAGCTTAAGAGTTGAAGGAAAAGGGAGCCACAAGAAAACCAATGCCCGTCGGGCCCCACGGCCTCTGCACGGAAAGGGCCATTGCTGGCACCTGGCAACGCTTTCACGCCGATCAACTCAGCTCGTAGGGAATTAAGGGGGAGGTCTTTTTCTGAGTACCCTTGGGAAACCACATGTTGACACACACACACACACACACATGCGAAATGGGTTTTGGTAGTGGGGAATCACGTCTTTGCACCTTGCAGGTTTGGTCGGTGGTCTGTCTCAATGGCATCCCCCCCGAAAGGAAACAAGAGGGGGGTTCCTGCAGTTTCCTTGAAACCCTCGAGGCTCAAACTCAAAGAACAAGATGTCCATACACAGATCCTTGTAGGCAAGTGAGGGACTCTGTAGGATGAGCTTTGCAGGCTCTTGGTTCAAATCCCCAAGCCAAGCGAAGCCGAGTAAGGTTTATCAATTGAATCCTTGGACACGGCAAGAAACATGAAGCACAAACACCACCCGACGGCGAACAATTGCAAGGCACCACGGGCTCAACTCACATGCACCATACTTTGCAGAGTCTTGCTTACACAGCCTTCAAGGTTGGGCGCGTTGACTGTGACAGATTTACAAGGATGGGGAACGTATTGACGATTGATCATGCACCAAGGGGGGGGTGCTTCCTGCTTTGCAGGGAATGTCAAGTAAACCCAGCAAACTACTTTTTAGGAAAACTGGCGTCTGAAGCGTGGCCAAAAGACCGCTTTTCTAGCTTTTCCTGAAAACCGCTAGATTAAAAAAATAATAACAAAATCCTTCCAATCTCGAAGGTGTGTGTTAAAAAAGGATTGTGGTGTTCCTTCTGGTTTCCCTTAAACGCACACTGCAAGGATACCCACAAAAACATATATATATATATATATAGATATATATATATATATATATATATATATATCCGCCGACCCCTTGCCCTAAGGGTGAGGCGCATGGGAAGGGTGAGTTCGGCCGAGCTCTTGTAGACCTACCAAGTCTGAGAATGCAAGCATGTTCTATCTCTCTTCTAGGAAGCAGTTAAAAGTGACGTTTGGGCACTTGTCGGGCTCCCAAAAGGCCTCGAAGCTCGCTGCCTTGCTGGTGATGCTGGGGATGTATTCGGGGTACTTTTCAGCTTGAAACCTACCCATATCTAGGAGTCAAAAAAAGAGTGTTTTTTTTTTGGGTGCCCAAAGCGACAACATCCCCTGCATCACTTGCATCATCCGCATACATGGCGTACATGGATGCGGGTGATGCAGTGGATGTTGTCCATGGACAATGATGGAGTGAATGGAAACAAGATAGACAATTGATGGAAACAAGATGGAACATGTATGGAAAATTGATGGCAAATTCATGGAACATGGATGGACAATTGACGGAACATTGATGGAACATGGATGCATAATGTATGCACTGGGATGGAATGGGTGGAATGGATGGAAGATGGATTGAACGTTGACATGGGTGGACAATGGATGGGAAATAGGATCGAAAATGGATGGAAACTTCCCATGGAAGGAAAATGCGTGGAACATGGATGAAAATGCATGGAACGAATGGCAATGAATGGAAATGAATGGAAATGAATGGAAATGAATGGAAATGAAGGGAACTGAAGGGAAATGGAGGGAACTGAAGGGAAATGGAGGGAAATGAAGGGAGGTGAGGAGAAATCACGACAACTAAAGGGAACTGAAGGGAATTGAGTGAAGGAACATGAAGGGAACCAGTAAGAATTGAAGGGAACAATCAAGGGAAGAAACTAAGGGAAGGGTAGGGTGCCCGGTGGCCGGCTGTGTTGCGTCAGCGTGTATATATATATATATGTATATGACCAGTTCGCATCTCATCAACCCATGGCGCGCCGCACTGAAGGTCGAACTCCTCGGGAACCTGGCAGGAGGATTTTCCCTGATCCTCCGGAACCCTCCAACAAATGGAGGAAGAGTACCTCTTTCCAACGATCCCTTCAGATGAGGTTCGTCTTTAGAACCCCAGTCCACTTCCACGATTGGAAAAGTAGACATGAGACAGGGGGAAGGTGCTTCTCCCAATGAAGAATTTTTGTAATGGGACATGCCCAATCCTCGGGCATGTTCGATGGAAGGAATCGGCTAATCATCAAATATGCCGACGACAAAAACATCCAACCGACAATCGGACCCGCTGTTATTTGGTGGCACAAAGCATCAATCGGAATGGTCTCGCAGAACCACTGAGGTCCGCTTGATGCAATATACGCTGCCCTGGATAAGGTTTCGGTTGGAACAACTCTCAATACGCCAGTAGAAGGGGGGTTCGAACCAACCTGTAATGCTGAGTGTAAAGGGTTCGACATGTTTAACATACGCATGAACTGATGTAGATCTTGCACTACTCGGCAACATCAAATGCGATTCCAGAAAGGGCAATCCAAACATGTGGCTGCTCGCCAGCAAAGGAGACCCTCCTTTGTCGGTGATGCAAAGGAAACAACAAGGAGCCAACTGTGTGAGGGCTCCCTTGTCTTAGGGCATGCCAAAAAACTGCATCCTCTGAGCCTCTGAACAGGGGTTCTTAAATTCCACTACGTTGCAGCCCCCCAAAGTGGCTTGGGCTTCCTTCTAGCCTGATTCAAATGGCCAAGTTGTGTCCAAAGCTTGCTAGGGTAAACAGACGATGAGCATCCAATCAAAGTAATCCCAAGCAACAGAATGTCAACTGATCACACAAAGCGCCCCACCGGCAATGAAAGGCTTTGCTGAAAGCCACCCTGAGAGCTTAGGGAAGTGGACGTCGCTCCCCACCATATACCGAAAACATCAGCTATGCTCCGTCTTTCAGGGACAATGTATGAAATGGCGCGTAGAGGTCCCTGAACATTCATAACCTTCAACTAGAGTTTCCGCTGTTCTGTCAGAGCTGCTGCGTTTCTGACACTGGGAGGCTCCCAAAACGAGCCCCCAAACCCTCCGCCCCCCAGGCTCCCCAACCAACCCCTCCCAGTGGGTTTCCGCGGACAAGCCTCAGGCAGGAAGCAGCTCGGCGCACTGCAGCCCTCCAGGCTGAAGACCCCACCCTGGCAAGGCCCCAACCCTCAGTTGCCACAACCGGCGGTGATTGTGGGTTAGGAGGTTGGGAGGGTTCTTTTTACCTTCAGGAACCAGCGGTTCGAATCCCCAAACCTTCAAACCACCATTTGGGGGCGCCGAAGGGTTCCCCAATTGGAATTCACCCCCGAGCAACCCTTCTTGTCCTAATCATAATTTAGTGCGAGTCCTAATGTCATCCCGCTGACTTCAGATGACTGTGAGCATTGGGCCATTGCTGATGCAAGTAATCTATTTGGCTGCACAGAAGTCAGTTGTTGAAAGTCTAAAATGCCCGCTTGGCAAGCAGTTTGTGACTTGTATTTGCCTGCTGTATTGATCTTTTTCTTGCTTTTTGGTGAGCCAGAGTGGTGCACAAACCCAAACGCAGCTCACCAGGAACCAAACAATGAAACCGCAACAAGACACGGGGTACCTGATTACTCGGCCCACATCTGGGGTACTCCAGAAATAACGTGTTAAGATTGCGTGTCTTAATTATTCTACCCTAAAATCTAGACCCAAGTTCAAGCTGAAAACAGAAGGAGGAAGGGGGGCTGATCTGTGTCACCTTGAAGCTAGAGGAGGTGATGATTAAGACGAGGGAGCCCAAGGCCACCCAATGTAAAGACTGGACTCAAAGAGCCCAAACAGAGCGTGATGCTTTCTATGACCATGATCCTCCGAGAAGCGTCAATGTTGAAAGAACCCTAATACCGGCG